CATGTATCGAGTTGCCCGTGACATGAGAAGCGAGAAGTTTTGACCTTTTGTAAACTGAAGGACAGCGCAGTGGTTTTGTTAGGTATTCAATATGCTCAGATATAGAGCTTTGAAAGTCGATTTCATCGTCATAAAAGATATTCAAACCAAAAACTGGGCAGCGATTTTCTGGTTCGGTGATGCGGTCATGCGATGGCGCTGTACTGGCTACAGCATTATCACGAAGTTGCTCCCCATGAGTTGTAAGTTTTCCAAATTCTGTACACTGTCTTTGTTTTGGCACTATGAAGTTCTGTACAGCAGACTCCACCATATTTTCGCTTTGATGGATAGACGTATGATTTCCCAGTCTTTGTGGTGACACCATGCTGGGATCCATGTCTGGACGCCTTTTGAACAACGTGGACCAGTCAATCTTCGCTGCAACTATTTCCACTGGCTTGTACTTGACAACATATCTCATGAATGCCAAAGCTTCGTCTGTGGTAAGGCCTAGAAAGCCCAAACTTCGCAGCTTTTTCTGTGCATTTATTGCCATGCCAGTCTCTAGCCAGTTACCCCAGTGGATTGTTGTTCCTACTAGACCGTTCCTTCGGCGTGTGTATATCTTATGATCAAGATAGGCATTTGCTACAGCATAGTTGAGTTGACCGACATTACCGCAGATGGCGGTTATCGATGACATGACTATAAAATAGTCTAAGTGGTGGCCGTAGTCGGTGAGTAACTTTTCGAGCACGTCAAATCCATCTCCCTTTGGTGCGAAAACCTCCTTGAATCTCTCGGGGCTTTGGCCTTCAAGAGCCGCGTCACGCAATATGCCAGCGCTGTGGATGACGCCGTTGATTTTGAAGGTGAGATTAGCGAAGAGAGTGGACATGGTGGCATGATCGGTGATACTGGCGCTAATAATATGTACTTTACAGGTTTTTCTTAGCTCCTCCACTTCCTGCAATAACGTCTCATCCGGAGAGCGGCGACTGATGAGTAGTAGGTTTTCGACCTGACATTCTTGAGCTAACCACTTTGCTACGGTGAAGCCTATGCCAGACAATCCTCCTGTGATCAACCAGCTTCCTCTTAATTTGGGCGCCAGATCTTGTCGGGATATTTCGAATGAGCAGAAGCGCTCGCACCGGATGTATCGAATTTTCGGGAACTTCTCCGCCGCTAACGTCATGAAAAAGCTACGGGCTAGGGCATTGGTGGGTGAATACGTGTTACAAACGAAGAATTTCACCTCTGTACCATTTCTGATGAGCAGCCGAGAGAAAGAAAGCAGAAACTGGAAAAGCACCTGAGGACTGACGTCGCAGGTCGCGTTAAAAGCTATGACTGAGCCTTTATTGATAAATTTCGACAGTTGCTCCGGTGTAGAAGTTGCTGAGAGGTCCATAAGCAGCTCTTCCTGGCTGCGAAGGCAAATCAACGAAAGAAGAGCTGTGCTGGTGAATGACAGTAGATAGTCAGCCTGTACATCGACGTCGTCGGCAGTCGCAGTGTAGGCAGTAAGATTTCTTCTCTCGTTGTCTAAGCAGGTGGGAAGCGTGTCGGAATAAGTACCGTTAATTTTGAGGTGTTTTGGTGTCTCAATACCATGAGGAATCTCTCCCGTAAGTGACGGAAAAACATCATTCGAAAATGACGTTGTTGTTGGGAAATATCCATTCGTTTGCTGATCTAATTCTTTGATGCTATCCGAAACTACGCTTGTGGAAGACGAAGGTAATAACTGATCTGAGGTTTGTTTACTCACAGCAGTGTACTCACTGAAAACAACGTCCAATGCCCTACTCGCTTCGCCCGGAGATCTATCAAATGGCCTCTGAGAAACGAATCCATTTTGCCTGTGTTCCACTGATTTCATGGCTGTATCGTGGCTGACATCCATCTTTTGTCTATGGTTTATATGGCCGTTGGGAAACTTTCTTGAACTGTTTTGATTTGCAAGTCTTGGTGAGCTTTGTTGAATCACCTCTTTTAGAGGTTCCCCCAACTTATCATGAAACGTTCGAGGTTGCGCAATTCCCCGAATGTGTTCAGCAAGCTGTACAATGGTGGGATAATCGAATATATCCGTCGTTTGAATCTGAATATTTGGGAAGTATTTGTTGTTAAGAATTTCTACAAAGTCCATAAGATTTAGCGAATCCAAACCCAGTTCCATAAATCCCGTTGATAAAGAGGTAGCGTTGACCACAAGTTCGTGAGGAAGAACTTCTCGAGTAGCTCTTATGACTTTGTTGAGTACACCATCAATGGGTAAATTTTCTCGTATACGTGAATGCTTTTCCCATTTAGTTGATGAAACTTGATTTTCCGTTTCTTCTTTCGCTGATGTCGGTTCCATTACACTCAGAGGCTTAGCCAGTTTCTGACTTGGTTTATTCATCACTTTCTTCCGGATATGTTCAGCAAGCTGCTCGATGGTAGGATAGTCGAAGATGTCCGTCGTTTGAATCTGAATGTTGGCGAAGTATTTGTTGTTTAGGAATTCTACAAAATCCATAAGATTTAGCGAATCCAAACCCAGTTCCATGAAACCCGTTGACAGTGAGATAGAATTGACCACGAATTCCTGAGGAAGAACTTCTTGGGTAGCT